CCGCAGATCGCCCCTCCTGGAAGCCGAACTGTGAAAAGTCGAGCAAATCGTTTCTCTCGAAAAAATCCATTAATCTAACTTTAATAATTTTTTTAAATATTTTGCCAAAAACGGGAACAATCGATATGGGGCGATAGTCGGACACTGAATCCTCGTCTCCTTTTTTAAAAATTGGAACCACTCTAGATAATTTAAAAAGATTGGGAAAATTGCCCTTTTCAACACAAATGTTAAAAAGATGAACCATAGGCTGGATAATTTCATTTGAAATGCTTTTCAAAATATTGCTACTTATATCATAAATATCATATGAAGCCGAATCTTTCAGCGCATTAACAGCATTCCATATCTCTCGCCCGTCTATTGGCAAAAAAACAAAAGTGCTGTTGTTCATTAATATATTTCCAATCAATTCGTTCTGAATATTTTGATCAATGGACAATTCGCTTACAATTTTAGATGCTATTTCCAGAAAATACTCGTTGAATTCCCCAGCTTTTATATCAGAGTTGTTTCTCGATCTTGCCTGATGATTTCTCTCGAGGTTGATAATTTTCCAGGCACTTTTTGCTTTCGATTTTGATGAATTTACATAATTACTGTAGGCATTCTTTTTTGCGATAATGATAGAATTTTTATAATCTCCCTGCAGTAACCGGTAGTAGGCGCTATACTCTACACTATTTAATCCGTCAGCAATGCATTTTACAACTTGCATTTGCCTTCTTTTTTCTTTGAGCTCACTATTATACCAGCGAACAGGAGGATTATTATTCCTATTCCTAACCGTTTTCAAGGGTAAGTGTTTATTTATTAAAATTTGAACATTTATTACTAAAAATTTTGACAAAAACTCAATGTCATTCGAGTTAAAATAGTCTGCCCAGTCTAAATCTAACAATTCCCGCTTTATGCAACTCAAAGCCCTGGCTGTTAAACTTCTTACCTTAAAAATTTGAGGAGCCGGACTCACCTCTGCAATATTCAGATTTATGTATATACCATGATGGTCAGATAGACATGAATTCATTACTCCGGTAACAAAATCAGTAATATTATCGCTAATTAATATGTTGTCTATACATGACGCAGATATTTCGGTTATTCGTGTATTTTCAGAGATAGTGGGACTCATACCATTACAAGTTAAAATAGACATTAAGTCGCTCAAATTAGACGAACTACGCGAGAAGTCTATGTTAAGTCGCCCAGCACAATCAACTGCCTGTACCTACTTTGCGCATCGTGGAGAAACTCCCCAAAGACATTGAAGAATGTGCCAGTAAGACCCGAGGGTGATCTATAAGCAGTTATCACCAAAATCCTACCGTTACATATCTCTATGGCACACAACTCTGCCTCTATTTCTCTTCATATACTATTTAAATCTAGATTCTTATTTTTAAAACAATTTCTAACAAAAATACATACACCGCCGTGACACTTATCTTTTCTACAAAATGATGGGGCTAGTGTAAAGTTTTGTATCTTAATACTACTTAAAACATCCTGCTTGCACCAGTGCTCACTAAGACAACCAATATCGTACTTCTCATCATTCATTAATATGGAAAGTTCATCAGATTTGTTGGTTGTCTGTATGTTTATATGGAATATTTTCAGGTTGTAGGATGTTGTTCCTATCCTATGGTTTTCGATATTTTCCTGAGGTGAAAAAACTTACTGATCTTCGTTCCTGGAGGCCACAAGGTTGGATCAGTTATATTTTCAGAATGACTGTCATTCACACCTATTTTAAATGATGAATATTCATCAGCCCGTCTGGATTGTAATTTTTCACATGGTACTTCGGGGATTAAGCTAATTAGATAGTTGTTAATATCTGTTTCTGTACATGCTGGGTCCAGTCTATAGATATGGTAATACGTTAGGCTACGTACCGCCTTAATTGTAAAATTTGTCCCTGTTCCAGTAATCGCCTTATGATGACGACGCCGTTTATTGGTAACAGTTCTCCAGTTAGTCTCCTCCCTTCCTGGTGGGTTGACCAGCACACCCATGATGCTACGTGACTCCGCCTCAGAATAGCACTGGCCAGTTGCTGTCTAGTCACTACTTGACCAGTTGGTACTCTATTATTGCTGGCGTTCAACTTCTCGCAGCTCAGTGACGATGTACTCGTAGTACCCTGTTGCTGTAGAACCGGTACCCCCGATGTAGGCGCTGCAGCCTGTCTCGAGTTTGCTGAGCGCTTCGCCGCACGATCAGAGGAGCCCAGTCTAGTAGAGGTGGTGAGGCCGTTATTATTTTGCTTTCTGGGTTCGATCGACCGATTAACCTCACTTTTATGATTAGATTTCATTAACGAAATTATTGTATTCAATTGTTCTATTTGCGTTCACAACTCGGAAGTTAGTCTTTTATGTGATTCTACTTCTACTCTAGCTACTCTAAGATCACATCTTACCAGTATGCATGAAGTTTCCATACATTCGTCATTTTCTCCAACGACTGTCCTGTTCAGATGGCCAGTGTCCTCTGCACGGCCTTTCAGAAAATTTAGTGTAGCTTCTCCAAGGCATACAGTACTATCTGGCATCCTCCTTAACACTATATAATTTATAAGATCCTGTTTCGTCAACTTTCTCAGATCACTTTCAATATTCACGTTTACACCGGGTGCCATCTTGAACTCTATATATTTTACAAGTTATACAAACAGTGCAAGTGGGTATTAGACTACTAGTATATAAAATGTGTTGTTTGAATTATTCACCTTAAAGTGGGCATATGAGCTGGCTACATAAAAAACCTTATCATCGTTACATGGCTAATTTTTCTTGTGAAGTATCCTTTTGTGTAGCCATTATGAAACAGTCATGTCTGCCAGCGCGATCCCGGAGCTTAAAGCGGGGGCGGCCAATCGAAGGGGTGAAATTTTGACACTAAAAATATTATAAGGTACAGAAGCTACACGAGTTATATTTGCGAAAATAGCTTTTATTTATTATTAAGAAATGTGTAAAATTGTTGGCAGACATTTTTCTCGTTGCTAAAATGCCGGCAGACAACGCATAAAATTTGAAAAAAAATCATGACATACATGCATGCATGCCGATTATTGGAATGTCATTTAATAATTTTAAAACCCGTGTACAAAAGGGCAGACAAAAAGATAGTGACAAAATCAGTATAGATAAATCATGTATACGATTATATTATAAATATACTAGCACGTACCAGCGACCTCGTTCGCGTCGAATTAATCATTTGTAATGGTGATGATAAAACAAAGCAAGAATTTCCATTAACATACAAACTGGATAAAATTTTCTCACATTTATGTCAGCATGAGAAAAAATAATATGGGGATATTATTATATAACTTGGTAATATTTGAGGGCTAGTTTCATCTCGTTGGAATTTAACTTTCGAAAAATCCGTTTGCCAAAAATAAGCTTTTAACGTCAAGCAGTTTAAGCAGAATCGTGGTTAAGAAATTACCCAACTTTTTGGAACACCCTGTACGATTTTTTAAAAATTTCAAAAAAACAAATAAATTATGCTTGTCCAAGAGTTTTCCCGAAAGACTAACAGTTTTTTAAACAAACAAACAAATATTGTAATGTTTGAGGGGCGTTTTCACCCTCTTGGAATTTGAGATTCGAGAAACCCCTCCTTATCGAACCTCTACACCCCACAGTCAATCCAAGTTTGCCAAAAATTAGCTTTAAACGTCAAGCAGTTAAACAGTTAAAGCAGAATCGTGATTACTCAATAGTCATATTTTATGAAACACCCTGTATAAATTTATAAAAAAATATAAAAATATGTAAAACAACGAAATAAAATATACGTGTTTAAAAGTTTTTCCGAAAAAAAAATTCTTGAATGAAAATGTTCTTAAATAAAAAATATTTTAATATTTCAGGGATAGTTTCACCCCCTTAGAATTCGAGTTTCGAAAAATCCCTTCTTATCGAACCTCTACACCCTAAAACCAATCTATTTTCCAAAAATCAGCTTTTTGCGTCAAACGCTTTAAGCAGGATCGTGATTAATCATTTTAATGATCAGATTTTTCGAAACACCCTGTATACATTTTTAAAAAATCTTAAAATATGTACAAAAACAAAATAAAATATACGTGTTTAAACGTTTTTTCGGAAACTTGACTGTTTTTTATATAAAAAATATTGTAATATTTGAGGGGTGGTTTCACCCTCTTGGAACTGGAATTTCGAAAAATCCCTTCTTATCGAACCTCTACATCCTAGAATCAACCTGTATGCCAAAATTGAGCTTCTTACGTTGAGTGGTTTGAGCAGGATCGTGATTAATCAGTATGTCGGTCACTTAAGGGTTTTATACCGGGTGCGTCTCAAAAGTGGCTTACCCCCTATAACTTTTTTATTTTTTCAGATAAAAGAACGAGATTTGGTATGTTCAATGGAGTGTCATTTTCTATCGAATAAAGTAAAAAAAATACCGAAGGTGCCATTTAAAATTCAAAAGTTGTAGTCGTTTCCGATGAAACCGGAAGTGACAGAAAACAATTGAATACGTCAATCAATCCAAATTTATGTCATATACTAACATACCAAATATCGTTGTTTTATCTGAAAAAATAGAAAGTTATAGGGGTGAGTCACTTTTGAGACGCACCCGGTATATTAGTATAGATTATGATATTCATTTAGAATTAAATAATTATATTATATTTTTTTAATATTATTAATTAAATTAATTATTTTATAATAAAAATAGTTTGGGTACCTAGGTCGACTCAGCCTTAAATGAGTACTTGGGATTCACAATCCTTCCTTGTATACCGAAAGGCTCTAGCACGGCAAGCTAACCGTAAAAGGATATAGTGGATACGACAAAAGACCCAGGTAATTGATATCATCCGCAGAATCAAATCGCCCAAGTGGCGCAAGCATACTTGTACATGTATTTATTTCAATACTTTCTTCTGTAGTCATTGGATTTATTAATATTTTATACATTATTTTAAAACATTGTTTTTTTATTTTCAGTTCACAATTCTCAGATTCAGAATGGAAAAATTCCAAATGTACAACCACCGACCTTTACTAAACAACTACGAATCATAACGAGTGACAATCACAATAAATCTGGTAAAATGGTAAGTAATATTTTTTATTAATTATATTTGAGATAACTTAAAATACCTTTAGTGCTATTTCACATGGAGCGGATCGTCCGCGTTGATCATTCCTTTTGTGCCGTTTTACGTATTATACAGGGTGGTCCGAACTGTATTCCGGAAACTTCGGCAGGAAATTCTGTAGATAAAAATAAGCAAAAAACTTCATATAAATGTATGTCCTAAAATGCTTAGTTTCGGAGATACAGGATGTAGAAGTTTCATTTTTATTACGATTTTAACATTGAAAATGTTTCTGTTATCCTATATAAGGGAGCCCAAATCGAATTAAAATGCTACATTTGCCACACCATGACGTCATATATACAAGGGTATAGGAAATCTCGGCGCTGCGGCGGCAGTCGGACAGCGCGCGCAAAAACCATTACATCGCTAATTGTTTATTGATATATCTTTATTAGTTTAAAAGCAAAAAATATGGGGTTTGCTTTGATACCTTGTCAAGACATAAGCGAAACTTTTAAATTGTTTCTTTTTTTCATTTAGGCCTTCGTTTTTCGTTAAATGAAAGTTATATTAAAAAAAATCTCTTGGTAAAAATTGTTACAGCTACAAGCAACCGTTCTGAAGATATTTAGAACGGAATCATAACGAAAATAGTCAATACTTGTCATTATTGACAAAAAAATAAACAGCGTTGAGTAAAATTTGGGAAATTTTAATTTTTTTATATTAATCATATATTTTTCTGCGAAAAAATGCTGATAAATCAATTTCTGTTGAACTTTTGGCACAAAAACATTTAAAATTTATGTTTTTAGTCTAATAACTATTTAGTCAAAATATTTAATTTATGTCAATGATGGCAGGTATTGATAATTTCGATATACGACAGGCGTGGTGTGAATATTTTATATGTAATTTTTTGGATTATAAATTCGCCACTATTTTTTTGATACAGTAAGTGTTGTAAGATTTTGTATTTAACTTTCGATAGCGGGTAAATAAGTATAAAAAAGAAATATGTTTTGTAAAGAATTATTGTTTTTATAACATAAACATTGTCACACTAAACTTTTTAAGGTTTTTTTGTATATAACTTGACTTTTCAATTTTAACTTTGTATTCGTGATTTATATATATGTTTTTTTTTTCCAAAAAAAATAACATAGATTTTGAGACAAGTAAATTGAAATTGTTTGACTTTGTTATACCGTCCTGGCAACTGTTACTTTTGGGTCGGCATTTACATGTGTGGAAGTAAAGCGCATAGGGATCTTATTCAGTCGGAGTGAGAGAAATTCGACCGCCCGCCCCGAGGCGACACGCGACGGTGTGGCTGTTGCGGCGTTGCCGATACGCCTTTCCCTATCAAGGAAAGTAAAATTACGATATTTTTAAAAGACTTTTTTTTTCAAGGGATAACAAGATAAAATCATTAGACATGTTTCTGAGCATCTGAAATGGAATTATAAGGATATCGTTAAGGTGTCATTTTTTTTATAACGAGAAAACGTCAGTAATTGCGATAATTTAAAAACTCAACTTTTTAACACATAACAGGCCAGAACTCAAGAACCACTTTAGATATTGAAACTTGTTTGATATTGAATTATGTTTACATAAGAAAAATTCGATAAGGTTGTTTTTTCCATTCAAAAATTGTAAACAATCCATCTATTTACTTTTAGAGAATGGCAATTTTCAGCAATCGTGTAATTTTTTATTGATAAAGATTTTCGCATACCGTCTACAAAGAAAATACAGCAGAAATATTAACAAAGTTCTTGAAAAAACTACAATCTATTATTTCTAATAGATTTCGAGATATAGATTTTTGAATTCAGAGTTCTAATAGCGCGACCACTATCGAACACCCACTCAATTCCACTTATTTTTACCAAAAATGCAAGTGTTTCTAGCTTGCACTTAAAAAAATTCAAGCTATAGGAAAAATTACAACGACTCCTTAATAAATAAACAAATCAAGTATCACGAGACGTAAATAAATCGTGACGCCTAACGCATAACGTACACCTTTCCCTAGAACTTTAAGTACTGACAGAGGTAGGAGTCGACCGGTCAACTGCGACAGAAGTGTCTAGCCCTAGCAGTCAACTATTAAGCTTGCCCAATCAGATTGGTTAGCGTGGTTATTTGGAGTGTGTTAATTCATTTGTGTTTGTCAAAAACTCTAACGTGATTGGTCGGGCTTAATAGTTGACTGCTAGGGCTAGACACAAGTACTGCGACAAATCTGCTATATCCCCTTCCACGTCTCTTAGCGATGTGCACAGTCTCTCGGTTTATTTCATACGTTTGGCATCGTGTTTACTGTCCTCTCTTTGTTCAGTACATTATAAATGCATTGTACTCTTCTTACAAAGGGAAATCTCGACCCAAGACTAACCTTTGCCAGCCCTCAGTAGATACAACACTGATGGAGGCTATAATGTTAGCCGAAACGTTTTTTTTAACTAAATAAAGATAATGAAAAACCAAATAAAAACTTAATCAGCGTTTTTCCCGAACCTAAATAAAATCAAAAATTTTAGAATTTTTAGATACAAAAGGTTCAAGAATATCAAATTTTCTAAGAATATAAGACAGGTCGACAACCATTTACTCGTAGCGATTTTTACTAAGAGACCTTTTTTACGCAAAAAAACGCCGTACATGTACACTTTTTACTCAGTAGTTTTATACAGGAACCGACGAAAAATTATTATTGTTAAAACCATTTAAAAAATATGTAGGTGGCGCTTTCTACAAGTAGGGGTCATATTGACATCAAAATCAGATTTCTTATGTCAAAAAACTCCCAGATACAAATTTCATCCAAATATTGACGTTACTCCAGAAATTATTTGAAAGAAATCGAAATAAAAATGAAACTTCTACACCCTGTATCTCCGAAACTAAGCATTTTAGGACATACATTTATGCGAACTTTTTTACTTATTTTTATCTGCAGAATATGTTGCCGAAATTTCCGGAATACAGTACGGACCACCCTGTATTTTACGTATATTTTGTATTTATTTTTAAATAGGCGGGTTATCTCACAATGAAAATCCATTTTTTAGCTTCAATACTGAATCGTCACCATATTCAAAGAAATATCAATATTATTTAGTTATCACGAATTTGGATTTATTTTTTTAAATGAATTATAATTTTTTTTTAAAAAATGATGATAAAAAAGTTTCTGTTGAACTTTAGACAAAAAAATTTTGAACTTTAGACAAAATTACTCGTAGCGATTTTTATCAAGAGATCTTTTTACGTAAAAAGCATCGTAAATGTATATTTTTTTATCCAGTAGTTTTATATAGGTACAGCCGTAAAGTTATTACTCTTCAAACAAGTTAAAAATATGCAGGTGGCGCCCTCTACAAGTAGGAGTCATATTGACATCAAAATCAAATTTCTCATGTCAAAAAACTCCCAGACACCATTTTTCATCCAAATATTGATGTTACTTTGGAAATTATTTGGAAAAAATGAAAATACAAATGAAATTTCTACACCCTGTATCTCCGAAACTAAGCATTTTAGGGCATACATTTATACGAACTTTTTTACTTATTTTTAGCTGCAGAATATGCTGCCGAAGTTTCCGGAATACAGTTCGGACCACCCTGTATAATAACTAAAATTAATTATAAATAATAGAGTTCTGCACGAAACCCTAAATATGCGATTTTGATTCACTGTTGGCCGATTTCGTTTGTATTAACAAATTGCATTTAAATTACGTACATAAATAATAGGTATGATCAAAGAACATTATAATTTTTGGTTGATGTACAATCCACACGTGCCTGTGGCCTACAGTAGTAGATATAATATAATCAAAGCTATTTATTGGCAAAACATAAACCTGTACTAAATTAGAAGTCGGAAATTAATAATATAAATTACATTCGTCATTTTTGTACATAACATTTGCGTATTTTGTTTAACTTATATTTTAAATATAAAATAAATTATATTTCATTTCTATTTTGAATTTAGAATTACAACTGGTAATAAACTCTTATTCGATAAAATATATTTCTATTCTTCTTGTAAAACATTTTATATAAAATTGGAGTAATCATGAAATAGCCTATTACGGGATTATTACTATTTACGGGACCCTTTATAGGTATTTTTCTCTTCGCAATTTTACCTTCAAATTGAATTTTCCTGTAAATTACTATTTTTAGTTCTATTAAAGATAATAAAGATATTTTTAATTGGATTTCAATTGGCAATATAGGATATTTTTTCAGGAATTATTAGAAATAGGGAACATAGGTTACAGTAAAAATTAGAAATCAGTGACTGCTAATAATAACTAATACAAATAACCGATAGCCTCTACTCTAAACGAAAAATAAAAGAGGTTTTTTATATAGAATATATAAATAAATGTATTACTCAAACATCTGTAGATGTTAGTAATGTATGGCTATTGCTTCTTTGATTTTAATTAACATAACATAAATAAACATAACATAAGTAACAATAAAAAATGTCTATAACTCTGTGGCAGATTCATGTCTTCAAAAAAGTCCTTGTGGGTATTTTGCCACTATAAGAAAATATACAATATTAAATAGTTATTTTGTCTAAACACTGCTGCGTTAATCCAACGGAGACTGGCTTGTCAACAGTGATTGACTAATCAAAAAATTTGACTGACGGACAAAAAAATGCTTAACGTTTAAAGGCCGGGATACACCTATCATGCACGTTTCCGATCCGGCTCCGGTCCGATTTTTCCCCAGAAGCGGATCGCTGTGGGATCGGAAATGGTGAGTACACACATGTCATACATGCTTCCGACTCCTTCACGATTTCGGGCTTCGGCTGGTAGTTCAGTCATTGGGGATTTTTACTTGGAAAAAAGTCCGGAAGTTTTGCAACTTTGCAGGTTTATAGGTTTTGGGGTCCCTAACTAAAATCCATAAAATGCACATTTCCAGACTTGCCGCCGGCGCCGCCATCTTGCCAAGATGGCGTCCAAAATCGGTATTTTGTGAATATCTCGAAAACTATACGTTTTTCGCGAAAATTTGGGGGGAGCAAAATTAAAGAGAATAAAATTTCCTATAAAAAAGGTTTTATGAAAATTTAAGCTAAAGTCAACTGTTTAAGCACAAAATCCCTGGAAATTTTACAATTTTGCGTAAAATATGGTATATTATGTATAGTTAGTAGTAGTAGATTTTCCGAAATCAAATGTCGATTAGGGTTCACTAAAACTAGTTTTAGTTTAGTTTCTTCAATTTTGTCATAAAACAGTGGCGTATCATTAATAATTATTGAAAATATGTACTTGTTTCCACACCACCCAAGAGGTAATGTATAGGCGCGTTGATTTTAATGTGGTCTCCCCGGAGGCCTACTCCACTAGATAAATTAAAAACTTTAACTTATCTGCACAAGCCCGACGGCTCTGGCTCATTGATGTCAAAGTCGATCGTGCCTGCTGTGCTGGGCTGGTCAGGGTGGTCTCTCAATACGACCAACTCTCATCTTCAGCCGCCAGATGGATATCTACAGGCAAGTCCAACTCCTCTTCATCGGATTCGTCAAGTGACACTTCAGTGACGTTGTCACAGGATTTCCCATTATGTATGCACAAATCATTAAACATTTTAATCCTGCTTTTCTGCATCCGCAGGCTTTACCATAGTTGTTGGTTTTGCATTTACAGGATAAAAATGCCAACAGGGATTTTGGAGCTGGATCTTTCAACGTTGTGACTGGAGTAATGCCTGTTTTTGTTTTCTTCCAACCCCATTCTTCGGCATCTTTGGTACAACCAGACCAATGCTGAACCTGGTGGTAAGTTCGAAATGAATGCTGTCCAGCACGACAATTAATTATTCATAAATTAATGAGAGAATTAATGATACGCCACTGTTTCATGACAAAATTGAAGAAACTAAACTAAAACTAGTTTTAGTTAACCCTAATCGACATTTGATTTCGGAAAATCGACTATTCATAATATATCATATTTTAGGCAAAATTGTAAAATTTCCAGGGATTTTGTGCCTAAACGGTTGATTTTAGCGAAAATTTTCATAAAACCTTTTTTATAGGAAATTGTATTCTCTTTAATTTTACTCTCCTCAAATTTTCGCGAAAAAAGCATAGTTTTCGAAATATTCACAAAATACCGATTTTGGGCGCCATCTTGGCAAGATGGCGGCGCCGGCGGCAAGTCTGGAAATGTGCATTTTATGGATTTTACTTAGGGACCCCAAAACTTATAAACCTGCAAAGTTTCAAAACTTCTGGACTTTTTTCCAAGCAGACCCCTTTTTTGATCCCCAATGACTGAACTATGGATACAATCGTCATTTTTTTCTCTGTTAGGCAAATTTGTTTATTAGTAAATCACTGCTGACAAGTCAGTCTCCGTTGGATTAACGCAGCAGTGTTTAGAAAAAATAACGATAAAATAAAAATAACAATAATAAATAATAATTTTATTTTATTTTGAAGATTTTCTTACAGTGGCGAAATAACCCATAGGACTTTTTTGAGATAAGTAAAAATGAAAAACAAATAAAAAATAATCATATACAGAAAAAGTTTGAGAATTTTTGTTTTTTCCTAATTAAGTAATTACTGTTATCAGGTGCTAATTATTAGGTTTGAAGTTTAAGTTGATATATTGTCATTTTAACAGAACTTCAACGGTTTCTAAGGCTGTATTCCGTTGCAAAATCAGGCGAACCAGACCGGTAAACTACGGTAAAGAGCGGTTCCTGAAAACATCGGTTTGATACGGAACGGTTTGGTAACATACTGGAAAGGTCAAATGTTGGCGTTTTCTAAATTTCAATACCTCTATTATAAAATTTATCTTTTATGCATTTTTAACGTACCTATTCTCCGCTTTTACATTTGCTTCTTCTTTTCAACGGAGTGTTATATTGAAAAGTACTTTATTAATAAACTGTTAAACTCGTTAGACAGCTCAAGTGAACATTGGCAGGTCCAATATTAAAAACAGATCAATAATAAATAAACAAATCTAATCAATATTTATATTTTTATAGCTTACTAAACATTCACGATTACTTGCTGTCTTGTTGTTCATGTTTTCATTAAATGTTCCTAACTTTAAGAAACAATGGCTGCATGATAAGTTTAAATGGTCATAAAAAGTCATTCTATTTAGTTCATGAAATTTATTTACCTTTACTGCCTACCTCCATTGCTTTTGGATGTAAATACAAAATATTATTACAAATTTTAGAAATTAAATGAGAATTTCACTCGAACTTCCAATATTTGTTTGATTTCTGTCACATAAATGACATTGATTGATAAACAAAACCAGAAAAACCAGCCTTCTCGCGCTGGTTAGTTTGGTAACAGTTATAACCGAATTTTTCAGGAACCGTGTTCTGTAATAAGAAAACTTTCAGGAAACCGATAGAAACGGAACATAAAACGATAACAAGGGTAAGCAACGGAATGCACCCTAATAGGCGTATCTGTAGAAAAAAACTAAAGATTTCTTGAAAAGTTGTCGTTAGATATTTGAATAGTTTGTTCTTTGTTGTTTGCTTGTGTTTTGTTTGCTTCTGACGAAGAGAAGTGATATACCTCCAGAAACTTTAGGCATTTTGTGTGCGTTAGGCAAATTTATTTTATTAATGAAATACCGCTGACAAGTTGGCCTTGTAAACAATCCAAGAAGTTTATTTTGTGTTTCCTGCTCTAACTTTGTCTCATTTCAGCTTATTTTCATTGAACGAGGAAACAATAAAAAACTCTCTTCGCTATTCCACTTTGACCTATTTCGGCTACCCTTTCGAGTAGTATAGGCTTGGTGCATTCTCCGCCTGTGCTGCCACCATCGGAGAATATCGTAAACAACGGGTATATAATACACGGGTTTAAATAGCGAGTATACGAAAAATGTAATTATTTAATTATTCTAAAAGTGTTAGGAAATATAATTTGTGAAAATTCTAAAAATAAAAAGTAAATATACTTGTATTATAATTTATTATTCCAGCTAAAAAACGTTTTAGATAAGTTCAAATACGGTTGCGATCATAGTTTTACGCGTCGGTTTTGCTAGTGGGGTCATAATTGACCTTAAATCCAAGGAGGCAATAGAGAAAGAGGGACATATCCTATATTATAGATACAGGACAACACCGGTATCAGGTCTAAGGAGAGACCAAGTTAAAGAGGTGGAGAAAACCAATCCAGTGGTGGCCAAACTCCAATCGTGGAAGGGTGTGTACCCTCGGACGAAGAACTGTTGTCAGAGGAGGATGGGAAATACTCTGTCTCCTCTACAACAGGGGTATGATGGTTTATAGACTGCGTGATGACTCAAGGAAGGGGGGCACAATATATCTTTAAGGTCGCAGTGATTAACCTCCCCTCTTACTCTTTCTACATTCTACATTCTACATACCATTAATATTGCCAAATTATATTTTATCCTTTCATAGGATATGCCTATTTAATTTTTTGATTATGTAATGAGCACTTTGTTTACTCATTTGTTCCGTCGAACTGCTTGAATCCATTTTTGCTTTTGATCAAATCGGTGTGAGAAACTGTAAAACTATAAAATTTTGTTTCGGAAGAGTTGAATATCTGGAAAGTTGAGTTATTGAATGTTATTTGCATATGTTTTATGCACCCAACAACGCCCTAATTACGCTCTCCTTTACGCGTTAGCATTTTTTCGTCAATTTTATTAGTATTTGAAATTGTCAGAACACGACGCCTAGTTCGAGTTGTTTTTCAATTATTTTTTACTACTCGAAACAGCGTTACATAACACAAACCTCGTACCTGAGTGTTTGATAGTTTCAATTACTACACTAGTAAAAAATCAAATATTAAACATTATGACAAAGCCACGATTTTAATATTATTTGAATGCGATCAACATAAACGGTAATGGGACTGCGTGAAATAGTTTATACCCGGCATTTCTAATGTCTGCCTTCAAGCGCTGCGGTAGGAATTTTTAAAATAAACTGGGGGGCAAATGCACCAAATCTCTATAAGTCGTTTAAAACTAAATTAATGAAGAACTATAACATTATCGTTCCAGAAAAAGTTCCAATGTTTCTATTATCTATTCATTTGGAAGTTTACAATATTTTGAATGATCTTTATAGTTTCTAGTAGGTGCTGCCCATGATAATTGATATTTTATAATTTATATTACAAAATATAATTAGAAACACTTATTAACACAATTTACGTTTTGTTTTCAGAAAAATCACCAGGAAGGTCGAACGAATGCAGTGACGGAACAAGTACCTTATTTAGTTAATTTTGTGTTACCATCGGCAGTTCTAGTGGCATGTGCAATATTATTTATGGCAGTGGTGTTTTACATAAAACTGAAGTCCAAAAGAAGAAATGATTCAGTAAGTAATTATTATTATTCAGTAATTGCAACTTTCAAAATCATGTACACGGCGCCGCACAGTGATGCAGAAGTTCCCAATAGCGGCAGAAAATCAAAATATCAGAAGTATTTTTTTTTAATTATATTTTCACTCGTATAGTTCCCAGTAGTCCATATTTTCAGAATCGTGAAAATTTTGAATAAAAACGGGCCCATTATTAATCCCTGATAAGAAATGTTCGAGCTTATAAGATTATTAGCTGAAGCTGAAATATTTTGATTAAATAAAATTAATGCGTTTAACGTTGGTGATAAATTAGCTAAAAACTGATGATACTCTGAGAAAGTACAATATTTTCAACTGTTTTTCCTCATGGTAATTCTAGTTTTAACTTCTCTGGTACCATAAAAAAAATCAATAAAGACTTGATGTAATTAAGAACTGCTTAATCTCAAATCACATTTTATGTAAGCTAATACAAAATGCTCCAAATTGCTCCAAAAAAATATGATGTAGGTTACAATTATTAGCCTTTTTCCTTCATAACTACGAAGTTTTATGACCAACATTAACCCACAAATACGCTTTAGGTTGCCTAACTCTCCTGAAAACCATGGTTTAGTTTCCCAAAATAAATTACGTATGACAGTATATTACTGGGTGTTTCTTAGGTGCTGTAAAATATTGTTGTTGTTTATTTTTAATTAGTTTTAGAAAGGAAACTGTAATATATTTTCTCGTATTCAATTTAAAATTCGATATACAAAGTATCCAAATTTAAAAATAATTTTTAATGTGTAATTTTAACTAGCTTTTCCCAGTTAAGCCTAAGTTTTTATTCGTTTTGTGCTTATATGACATTAAATTTAATATTATTAGAAATTTCATTCATTTTGAATAATTATTGTTAATATAAACTATACAAAGACGTGTTAATGTGTCTATGATGCGTCAATATTCAGTCAACAACTTTTATCAAGAATGTCATGCACCTTCTAGATACTAATTTTCTCGGATATAGTAAGAGATCACCAAGACTTAGTAAAATAGAACAGCATCCTGAGACTCCAAAAATTATTATAGATTAAATTATTCAATTTTTTATCCATTTACTAAATCCATATTAAATATAATCTATGTACGTAGAAGCTAGGATAATTTTTAGTTTCTTTTTTTGCGTATTAAATTCTTGTAATTAAGTTATAATCTAACTATAATATTTTTACCACATGTAATTACAGATATTTCTAAATTATAGAACATTTAAAAATATAACTAAAATTAAATGGTTGTAAGTGAACAACTGCTTACATCTAATGCGAAAAGAGCGCTCAGTCTTTTAGATGTTTTGGTGTTACTTTATTCATTAGTAGCTAACTAGATAAAATATACAGATGTATTTAGTTTCTTTTTTTTCTCATGGAAATGAATGTAAATATCTTTTTTAAGTTAAATTTAACTAATAGTTATTGGTAACTAGTTCTGAAAAAAGGATTAATTATATTAAAAACGAAATGCTAATTCTATTGTAAGGGGCTGAAAATAAAACCCTGTATACTTACGTGTTTACACAAACTTTTTTTGAGTTTTTAAACTTTACAAAGAATAGAGTATTAAATTAATATGCTATTAAAGACAAAATAATATAATTAAATTTTTTACAACCCATTTTTTATTTTTTACAGCCAATTTAAGTACACTCTGTATACATAATTCAATTTTCTGAATTCAAAACATCACTTATATACTTAGAAAACCACATTTAACAAAAATAATTTAAAAAAATGTAGTAGTAAGTTGAGAAATTATTTTTTGCCACTTTTCGCGTTTTCGGCATCACTGTGCGCCGGCGTGTACATGATTTTGAAAGCCAGTTATTTTTTTCCTCTTATTAACAAAAGTGTGTAGGCTGTAATTTAATATTTTGTCCATGTCGATATCCTTGATGAGATAAATGCATTTTTATTAATAACAATTAATAAAATTAATAAATGATTGTTTATTTAATGTAATTTACTACTAAATATTATTAAAATACATATATAACACTGATGTTATGCTACCTGCAGCAAATTCCCCCCAAAAATAATGGTATTTAAAATAATTACAAAAGGCTTAAGCTTCATTCAGAACCTCGCAATTAGTGGAATAAATTAGTGGTTTCAAATAGCTTAGAAGTTTGTTCCTTTAATTTGAATGTAAGCATTCAGAGCATTAAAATTAGTAGTAGGAATATTCAATTAGTGGAAAAAACTAACAATCTTTTAACTTTTCCACTAATTATACTTCAAAATTTGCAACAAATGTCATTTTGGCCTTTGATTATCATCCGTCAGGAGAAAATGTGGTTAGAAATTAAAAGTTTATTGTTTTAGAAGGTAAATATTAGGCTTTCTCTATGGATACAACTGACTACCTCAAGCTGTTGCCAGGATATTCTATTAATTTGAATTGTCTTTTTTAGACATTGTGAATGATAGTAAACTAAAAAGTATAGATTGTAATTCGGAATGAAGCTTTATTTTTTAAAAGTTTTCACATCCTGTAACTTTACAGCTGCAAGTATGCATTTCCGCACCCGTAGTATGCATTTAAAGGAACTTTTTTTATATTTTTTGATGAGGAATCACTGATTATTTATTTAACATTTTGGCAAGTTAATGATATTAATTTTTTTTAAAGGTTAGAATTGGATTATGACAATTTAATTAAATTGCGTTTATCTCATCAAGGAGACCGAAATCGACAAAACATCAAGAAAAAACTTTTAATCAGTGCTTAACGGTCTACATAATTTGGCTAACAAAAGAAAAGCAGTGGCGCAAATATTATTTCTAGAAAAATATTCCAGTGATACCTAACCCATATGCACGACCGTTGTGAATATGTAGATACTTTTTTAGCATTAAAATATGCCGCATTTATAGTAACTTTTACCCTCAAAATTTTATTCGAATCGCTAAAAATACTTGGAAGAAAATTATAATAAATCGAAAAAAGATTAAGACTTTACCCCCCTGTAGCTACTAAGCAAAGCAGAATGGGACCTATATTAATGAAACTGAAAATTAAATCTTATTTTTATGAGAGGATCTCGCCACAAGAGATGGCAATGTTTTTGAAACAATTCAAAAAGAATCTAATAGTGGTATTATTCTAAAAAGGTTCTCTTATATAAAATATAAAACTATAAAAATATATAGGGTTGGCTGAATTGTATTCGGGAAACTTTAGCTTGTTCTAGTTAACATGATCAATTTTTTTTAATGATATTGTTTTTCTCGATTCCAACTATCTCGAGAACCATTAGTCGCAGGAAATTTGACCGAGAGAAGTTTTTTACGAAAAAAGCGGCCGAAAATGTATATATTTTACTCAGTAGTTCTATACAGGTAAACACGAAAAATTATAACAAACTAATTAAAAAATATGTAGGTGACACCCCTACAAGTAGAGGTCATATTAACGTCGAATTGAAATTTATCATTTCAAAAAATTCCCAGATACCAATTTTCATCCAACTATTGACGTTAGTTCAGAATTGATTTGGAAAAAATTGAAATAAAAATGAAACTTCTACAGTCAGTATCTCCAAAACGAAGCATTATAAGAAATAAACTTATACGAACTTATTTTTATCTGCATGAACATCAAAATAGCAAACAACTCAAACTCAAATGCCGATATGGTATTTTATTTCTCCTTATTTTATATATAAAGTTTGTATTTTTTATTATATATTATCTGCTCGCTTTTCAAAAAAATATAAGAAAATATGTCTAGTCAATTTTAAAATAATTATGGAAATTTGATGTACCTTTTATTTAAAGTTTATAAGAGACGGATTTTGAGAAGCCGCTTAGGAATAAAGACATTAAGCTTCTTTGTGTCTACCCTTGGGCTCGCTCTATTATAAACTACTTAAAGGAAACTATAGATAAGTAATTGCTTGTCAATATGGAGAAGAGACAGAATAAATACATCTAATGCATATTTGATGTATTCATTTATTAATGGTTTTATTATAATTAATTCTATTAATTTGTAAATCAAAAAATTTATTTACATTTATTTATTACAAGGAATGAAACTGGTTATTTATTCTTATCTCAGAAATATTGACGATGAAAATCACAGCTTATTCAATACTAGACGGTAGAGATGTTCGGTTCTAAGATTTCAGTACCGGTATCCGGTACCACGGAGTACCGGTCCTACAACCAGTATACCGGTTCCAACGATTAGATCGATGTGACCGATACTGAACCGGTATACCGGATGGACCGAAATAATAGTCATGATATACCTCATGATACCGTATTAAAATAGAAAGTTCTTGCGGCTGTAACGTTAAACACGGTAACGTAATAAATACGGTATTTTGAGGGATAAATTAGATTTCTCTGGATATATCATAAATCTATCCGTTACCGTTATAACGTTATTGCTCTAACTTAAGATACCCATTGTTTATGTTCACATTTCCGGCATATTCTTGATTTCTTGCCCAACATTCTCTTTACTTATCAAAAGTGGAAAAAGTACTGGAAGCTGCTGTTCTTGGAGATATAAATAGAGCGGAAATAAGATGCTATTTTACATATTTTAAATAATAGAGTAGATGCTATTGAATATCGGCCTGAGTTTTGCGGACATTTTAATTTATATAATTTACATGAGCAATCCATGAGTAAGATGCTTTAAACGGTCCACACCTTATACAATTTATCGTACTGCAGGTTGTACAACACAAATTTGAACGACACTTTTTGAACGTTTGAACGACAGATCGGATGCACTGTTGTCCACGAACTTAAACTACTAGAACGCTACTAGTTTTATGTCTGTTGTACAATAAATCGTATCCCAGTTGATTTTGTCCTGTTCGCCGTGGCTTTGTGTCAGTCAAAAAGGATAATAGCTGCACAGGGACGCGCCAAGTATTTTCGGCGCCGTCGTGCGAAATAAGGGTAGGCGCCTTTCTCCAATATTATAATATTAAGCCAAAATTTCCAATG